CCTATACCCCTCGTGTGCCTTCGCCTCCCACCGACTCCACGACACTTAGTCAAATCCCCTGTGTCTGCAGTTGCAGGCTAACTGATGTCTTGAAGAGCTTGTTTCTGATTCGACATGTCTCTCCTGCCGCTTTCTCTCTCTCTTGAGTTTTACAAGTACTTCAATGCTCTAAACTCAGTAAACACAGCAGATTAAGTAAGGGCTTATTAATACAAGTATTATCAAAGCAGAAACTCCAATATAACTCATGCTATCGCAGGAACCCAATTTTTTTACTTCCACACTTTCAGGTGAAACCAATTTTTATACAAGTATCAGATAGATCTACTAATAACAGAAGGATCGATCAGGAAATGAATGGAGTATTTGTCTTTCAAACTGTAACTGACTTAATTCTGTATTTAGCCAAAAAAAAAGTCTTAACACCTTTGAGAAAAAAATAAAAGAATCTTTATTAAGACATTCAAACAAGAAATGTGGCATACATACTTGCCCAGACTATACGAAAACTGTCTCTGGTAGTTCAGGGTATCAGTCAGCAGCTTTCTTTCCCTTGGAGCAGAATTCTGTGGAGCTAAAGACTAAGATGGCCAGGAGGAGCTGAGCAAGAATAAATGCTTTGATTTTAAAATAACCATCATATTCTTTCTCGTGCAAAAACGTCACCACGTAACTGTTTTTCCCTCAGAATTCGCTGGTTGTTACATACAGACATCATCTACTTGGCCAGCAAACGACGTTGCAGCCGTTTACCTTTCTAATACTTGAACAAAGTAGACTACAATACTCTCTCGAACAGAGTACATCATACCTAATATATAGAAAAAAAAACATATCAAAAAGAAAAGGGCAAAGGTCAACGATTTTCTTGACCACGTGTTTATGGTAACACTGCGTAGAAACTAGATAAAGGATATTTTTAATTTCTATATTAATAAACGTAGATAGGAAACATATGATATGCTTGCATATTACACTTGTATTAGAGGACACCATGGCTTGGGAAAATAAATAAGGCTTTTATGGTTTTATAAAATGAAATATAAAACAACACACATACAAAGTAAGCTTAGCATGAGTCTTGTTTTTTTATGCTATGACTGATATATTATGCTCATGTTTGTTAGATTGGTAAAAAAGCGTAAATAACTCGTGCTAATAAATAGCAACAGTAGATTTAGTTGATAAGTTAGCACGAATCAGTACATTCTTTGGTTAATACCTGACACGAGATAGGTGTGTTTAGTTTGTTAATCAAGACTGGAACTTTAAGGCTTAGTTTGATATTAACTTTGTTTCACATTTATATTTAAAATATATATATATTCAAAAATAGCACAACAATGGTTATACTTTTTTCTAGAGATTCTTCACCCAGAGGTCCTTGTTATAATGGACTATGCTCACTGGAAAGGCTTCGAGGATGTTTCTGTAGCAGCACTGACGCGTTACATAACTATATTTTGGAATGTGGTTTGTAGACAAACTTTTTTTTTCAGTGAAAAAGATCCAATATAAGTAAAACTGCATATACCAATGAATAATATAACTATCGCCGACTACTTATATAGTTAGTAGCCTAATGTTAAGGTGATAACGTTTCTTGATCCAATAAGTAAAGCAATAATATTAGCTTTTTTATTCTAAACAAACACAGAAAAATATAGCCTACGTTGTTTAAATTAAAAATAAAATGATTTCTAATTAGACTTGATTTCTATTTTCATTAAATTATCTTTCTATATTACTTGTAACATTTCTTCTTTTGAAAATAAATGTTCATCCTACTGCTAATGTTTAATATTTGCCGAATTCAATTCTTTATCCTTACGTAAAGTAAATATTTATAGCTCTTATTGAAATTCGTATTTTTCTTTGAAGACAGTTCTATAGTTGGTGTCGTTTTAATGTCTCATGTTTAATTTTACATAACCATCCATTCACAAGTGTTAGAATAATATATTTGTTTCTTGCAGGTAAATCTGCGATATTCTCAGTTAACTAAGCCTCAAATAAAGCTATCTTTCTCTGGATTAATCATTAATAAGGTAATACTGTTTAAGAAAGTGATTCTCAAATACTAAGATGTTTTCGTTTGTTTATGCTTGTTATGACAATGTATAAATTATAAATACATTTCCTCTACTGGAATTCATAACGTTAAACAATATCAATAGAAGGCATTAAAAACGTCTTTCTACAATATTTAAATTACCTTTATCGTAGATAATACAAAAGTTAAAAATTTAATGCTTAAATTTATTTGTTGACTATGAAATTGACTTTCCTTAGCGTTAATGGTTGTATATGTGTGAGTGTATCTTACCTGTCCTGCTAATTTTCTTTTAAAATGCATATCTTATCTTTTACCATTGAATTATATCTTTTATCTGTTTAGTAGTTATCCATTAAATGACATCCATTATCCTTCCACATGGTTAGTTGTCCATTAAGTTATGTTTAATTGTATCTTTTAATAGCTGGTTATCTATTTCCTGTGTTGATTGATGTCTACCTTAGTAACTGTTCATTAAACATATTTTATTAACTGTACTAGAGGTTCTTCTTCATACTTCTATATTCTGTCTATTTTCCATCAAGTAATTTCTCTTTTCTGTTCTGACAGTCTTCTAAATTGCAACCTTACATAGAGGACCACAGGACAAAACTTGGTTTCGTTGATGGAAAAAAAGTTGTGAAGTCCATTAACAAATACGCCGTGAAATGGAACAGCAGTAGAGAGTACGATTTAGGTATTCTTATGACTGGGTGAGTAGGTACTTTCCTGAACATATTAAAAGACTTGTTATGTCTCAAAACTCGAACGAAGCAGTACCAAAAAGTCGTAATGCCTCAAGTTTAGGTAAAATGATGTATGGGCTTGAAGTAATGCAGAATCTGGTACACAAAAGTTAAGTTTATATATCAACTGTGCGCAATCACTGAAATCCGGAAGAAAATAACGAAACTGTAGAAACACTGGTAACACAAAAGTAATCTGCGAAAGTCAGATCTATTTCCTTCCTTTTACAGTTTACAAAAGTAATCAGATGAGTATATTGAAAAACAAAAGTCTTTGGTTGTTTTCTTTTCTCTATATAAGATATGAGATCTAAATTATCATGAAACAGTTGAAAAGTTATATCGGAAACTACAAAAAATGGTATTAAATTCTAATAAAGCCAAAAAAGAATCTAAAAAATTGTTCAACTAAATAATACACGCTAGAATCTTGGAAAATTACATAAGTATTATATTTTGTTTTGCTTTTATTTATGAAATTTGTCTGACTTCAAATGATATTTAGCATTTTGCCATTCGACCCTGTGAGGGATAATAACGTCAAAAATTAATATTGGTGTTTGTGGCGGCATCTATTGTCAGAAAGAAATTGTAAGTACTCATGACGTAAATTAAATATTTCTGAACAGTGCAGAATTCCAGGATTTTCTAGTTTATTTCTAGCTATGATTATACAGTAAGTTTGATAATTAATTAATTCACTTTTATTTAATAACTTTGATAATTAATTAAATCAACTTCATACGTATTTTTTCTTTAAATACTAATTTCAATAACTTTATAAATATTGAACACAGAATACTTTAACGTATATCTTTTTTCTAAGAGTGAATTTTGAGCAACCTGTTTAATTCTAGAACTATTTATTGTATGTCTTTACAGTAGGTATACATTCATCATAATGTATACTGCCTTTTACATATTTAGGAATACAACTTTTGTTTTCTTCCTTACAGAGAAGATTTGTCAAAAGAAGATGGATCGAAGGATTATTGGGGACTTGCTGGTAACTATACAAAAATTGTAGCTGTTACGGGAACAGAAAACTTCAATATAAATTCGTTAACAGAATATAGTTTTTGTTTAAAGCCATACGTAGGGATGTGTCCGGTTAAAAATGGCAGCCAGTACAATGCATATGGTAGCGCGTACGCCAGGACGTCGGCAAAACCCAGCCAAAGGGTTATAGACGAAAACTCATTCACTAATCAAGTACAAACATTCCTCCAAAAGGGTTATAGACGAAAACCCCTTCACTAATCAAGTACAAACCTGCTTCTAAAAGGGATATAGACGAAAACCCTTCACGAATCAAGTACAAACCTGCCTCTAAAAGGGATATAGACGCAAACCTTTCACTAATCAAGTACAAACCTGCTTCTAAAAGGGATATAGACGAAAACCCTTCACTAATCAAGTACAAACCTGCCTCTATCCTTCCTTGATCTCAAGATAACGGTCCACTAAATCATCGATTATCTTCTTCGTCTTTCTTTTTCTCCGTCAGCTATAACTTGTAAACCAAAATGTGTCTGCGACACACCAAAACGCTTCACTATTCTCTACGATGTTCTTTTTCAAACCTAGAGCAGCCAGTGATCCACAATGGGTTAGCTACAGCCCAAAGTACTAATCACGGTTTCTGATATGTAAGTTATTATGTGCATTATATATAAGTAGAAGTAGATAATCTACCATATACTCCTTACCGCGCCGCGCAGTATCCTGGTCACGACTTATATTGCTATAGATTATATTATGACTCCCTATAGAATAGAACCGAATAAATGAAATGGTGCCTTCCATCTAGAAGTTACAGCTCCACTGGAAGCCAAGACTTCGACTCGTAAAAAGTACATAAGCTAGTGGCAACAAAAATTTATTCTAAAATTGTTGGGATGTGGGGATGGGAAAAAATCAGAAACTAGAGAGCATTTGGGATTGGAGCAAAATCTGAATTACCCATTCCTGCATTCATGCACTGCACTCACAGGGTGGATGCATATGTACGTTAGGTGGTGGAATGCAGGATTGGGTAATGCAGATTTTCCTCCAATCCCAAATGCTCTCTAGTTTCTGATCTTTTTCAATCCCCACATCCCAACAATTTTAGAGTAATTTTTTTGTTACTAGTCTCATTTAAGGAATTCAGAGATTACAAAACAATACAACAACCTGTTAACAGATCAAAACAAAATATAGATAAACGTTTAAACATTCGATCTCTCGAAGAATTCTGATTTTCGTATCTGTAAATAACCTTTTAAACTTTTTTTTATAAGTTGTTGTTGGTGAACATCTACAAATACCAATATTTGTTTATACCTTTAACAATAAATGCCAAAACACGATTCCATGTTGATAACAATTATTTAAGCTTGATAAATGCGTGTTATGGGAACCCCCCCCCCCCCCAGTGGCACAGCGGTATGTCTGCGGACTTACCCGTGGTGGGCATAGCACAGATAGCCCATCGTGTAGCTTTGTGCTTAATTACAAACAAACAAGTGTTATGGGATGGATAACTTTAAAAAAGAGAAAGTTTTCTAAAC